GGGCCATTGGGAGGAGGCGGCGGAGGTGGTGGTGGTGGTGGCATGGGACCTCAAACGCCAGGAGGAATAATTATCATAACACAAAATGGAGGTGGGGCACAACAGTCTCCTGGTGGTGGTCCCGTAGGAGGTGGTGGACAAGGACCTGCTGGAGGAGGGAACGGCAATGGACCGGTTGGGGGTAGCGGAAAAGGTCCCGCGGCAGGAAGTGGGCCGGCAAATGGCGGCGGCGGCCCAGGGTCAAAACAAGCATCGATAATTATTATTCCAGTTCCAAATGGCGGCGGAGGTGGTGGAGGTGGAGGAGGCTTCAATGGTGGGGGAGGAGGAGGAGGAGGCGGGGGAGGACTATCTGGAGGCGGAGGNGGGGAGGGGGTGGTGGAGGTGGAGCCGCTCCAAAAGGGCCTTCGGGAGGTATGCAACCTTCAAGCAATGGTGGTGGCGCTCTTCCAAATCCGTTTGGTCCCGGAGGACCTCCAAGTGGAGGTGGTGGCGGAGTGGGGCCAGGAAAAATGCCACCAGGAGGTGGGGGTGGATTCGGCCCCGGTCCCGGTCCTGGTCCTGGTCCGGGTCCTGGTCCTGGTCCGGGTCCTGGTCCTGGTCCTGGTCCAGGTCCTGGTCCCGCTACCGGTCCTGGGTCTCGTCCCGGTATTGGACCAAGTCCACCTGTAAATGGTGGTGGCAAGGGCCCGAACGCACAACCACCTGCTAACGGAGGAGGGGTACTTCCAAATCCATATAGTCCTTCTGGAGGTGGTGGAGGAGGTGGTGGAGGAGGTGGTGGAGGTGGTGGAGGAGGTGGTGGTGGTGGTGGATTTGGTCCTGGTCCTGGTCCTGGACCTACACCAGTTCCACCCAATGGAGGTCCTCCAGGAGGCGGTCCCCCAGGAAGCGGTCCACCGAGTAGCGGTCCACCAGGTAGCGCTCCACCAGGCAGCGCTCCACCAGGCAGCGCTCCACCAGGCAGCGCTCCACCAGGAAGCGGTCCTCCCACTGCAGGTTCTCCAAGAGGGGGAGGTGGTGGTGGAGGTGGCGGAGGGGCAAGTCCCGGTCCCACTCCATCAGGAAATGGTGGTGGTAAGGGCCCTAACGCACAACCATCTGGCAACGGAGGAGGGGTACTTCCAAATCCATATGGTCCTAATGGAGGTGGTGGTGGAGGAGGTGGGGGTGGATTTGGTCCTGGTCCTGGTCCTAGTCCTGGTCCTGGTCCAGGTCCTGGTCCTGGTCCTGGTCCTGGTCCAGGTCCTGGTCCTGGTCCTGCACCGGTTCCACCAGGTGGCGGTCCCCCAGGAAGCGGTCCACCAGGAAGTAGTCCTTCTGGAGGCGGAAAAGGACCTGGTCAACAGCCTTCAGGGAATGGAGGTGGAGTACTTCCAAATCCCAATGGTCCACTGTACCCTCCAAGTGGTGGTGGTGGTGGTGGTGGTGGCGGAGGCGGTGGTGGCGGAGGCGGTGGTGGACCCGGACCTGGACCCGGACCCGGACCCGGACCCGGACCCGGACCCACCCCTGGTCCTGGGTCTGGACCTGGATCTAGTCAGCCAGGTACCGCCGGTGGGAACGGTCCAAACGGACAACCGCCTGGCAACGGTGGAGGAGTTCTTCCTAATCCGAATGGTCCACCGTACCTTCCTGGAGGAGGTGGTGGTGGGGGTGGATCGGCACCTGGATCTGGTCCAGGTTCAGGTCCAGGTCCGGGTCCTGGAACCTTGACTGGACAATCGTTACCCCCTGCAGGAGGAAGTGGTGGAGGAGCCTCACCTTCCCCACAAGGGGGCGGAGGGGGAGGTGCGTCACCGACTCCAAGTAACATACCTTGCGGTCCTGGGAGCAACGGAAACCCAACATCTGGAAATGGAGCCATGCCGAACGCTCCTACTCCAACAATGCAGCCTCCGCCCACACCAAGCCCTCAACCAGCAGGAGGCGGAGGTGGAGGAGGTGGGGGAGGGGGCGGAGGTGGGGGAGGAGGAGGAGGAGGTGGTTTTGGTTTTGGAGGGGGTGTAGGAGGTGGTGGTGGAGGAGGCGGGGGCGGTGGAGGAGGAGGAGGAGGTGGTGGCGCCACCGGAAGCAATAGTCAAAGCAAAGTCCAGAACAGCAATGCTGCAAACCCAGCAGGTGCGAATGGTAGCCCCAGCGGAAATCTCAATCCAGGAGGTAATCAAGGTAGTAACAATGCTAATCAACCACCGAGCCCGCAATCAATTGGAGGAGGGTTTGGTGGTGGATTCGGAGGAGGTGGAGGTGGTGGAGGAGGTGGTGGGGGTGGCGGAGGTGGCGGTGGAGGAGGAGGAGGTCGAAGACGTAGAAGTGTCGTTATCGGAAGAAGAGGTAGTAAGAGTGGAAGTTCCACAAAAAAGAAACCAGCGAAACCTAAAAAACCCTCATCGAATTCCGGCCCCTCTCAACAAGGGAAGAAGAAACCGAAACGTTCACGTCGATCTCCTTATATAGCAAGGCGGGTTCCTGCCGGTGGAGGTGGCGGCGGCGGCGGTGGTGGTGCTGGTGGTGGCGGCGGGGGTGGTGGAGGAGGTTTTGGCTTCGGTGGCTCCAAAATGATGAAAAAGGCAGGAGGTGGAGGTGGAGGTGGAGGCGGAGGCGGAGGCGGAGCAGGAGGTGCAAATAATAAGGCCAAGACGCCCTCAAATTCTGGGCAAGCTGGAGGTACTCCTGTAAAGCCACAGCCACCTGCACCGTCACCGCAAAGCCTTAGTCCCGGACGTGGAGGTGGTGGCGGTGGTGGTGGTGGCGGAGGGAAACGAAAACGTAGGTCGATTGCAATAAATAGGCGGGGAGGTGAGGGCGGAGTTGGACGTAAGCGTCGATCACTTGATGTAACGAGGCGGGACCCTGCCGGTGGAGGTGGTGGTGGTGGTGGCGGCGGTGGCGGTGGTGGTGGCGGTGGTGGTGGAGGAGGTTTTGGCTTCGGTGGCTCCAAAATGATGAAAAAGGCAGGGGCTGGTGGTGGAGGTGGAGGCGGAGGCGGAGGCGGAGCAGGAGGTGCAAATAATAAGGCCAAGACGCCCTCAAATTCTGGGCAAGCTGGAGGTACTCCTGTAAAGCCACAGCCACCTGCACCGTCACCGCAAAGCCTTAGTCCCGGAGGTGGAGGTGGTGGCGGTGGTGGTGGTGGCGGAGGGAAACGGAAACGTCGATCTTTGGATTCTGTCAGGCGTGGAGATGAAAATGGTGAATTGCTTATATCGTCGAATTTTGAGGCCAACAAGGATGTTATTAGTTTGATTGTCAGGCGAGACCTTACATTAGTGGATCATTCTGGAAGTATGATAAATCCGATGGATTCACTCACGATGTCAGACGATAGTGAATGCGTTCCATGTCAGCAATCCACGACCACTCCATTTCAAAGTGGACCATCTAGTCCCGGAGGCAAGATTGATCGGTCAGGAGGCGGTAATAGTGGTCAAGCAAAACCTACTCCTACCCCATCCCAAGGCAAAGGTGGTGGAGGTGGTGGTGGCGGTGGCGGCGGCGGTGGTGGGGGAGGAGGTGGGGGAGGAGGTGGAGGAGGCGGCG